CCGTCGTGCCGGTGCTGCCTCGTTACCGCCTCGTGCGCTGGGTGTGTCTGGTGAGGTTTCGCCAGGTTGGGTGTGCCCGGCGAGGCTTCGCCACGCTGCCGCCCGTTGCCGCCTCGCTGCCGTCTCCCGTGCTGGGTGTGCCCAGCGAGGTTCCGCCACGGTGCCACCCACTCCTCCTCCTCCTCCTCCTCCTCCTCCTCCTCCTCCTCCTCCTCCTCTGCCTCGTTGCCGCCTCGCTCTCTGCACCCCGCCCTGGCGTTGCCCGTCACCCTCCAGGTCTGGGCGTGCCTCCCCGCCTCGCACCCGAGCGGTCCGCACTTCGGCGTGCTCGCCTCGGGGCGCGCCGTGATCGAGATGCGCCTCGAGGACCGCAGCGGGCCCGGGGCCCCGCAGCGGGGCGGAGGCCATGTGGAACGGCAGCGGGAGCAGGAGGAGGAGGAGGGAGGAGGAGGAGGAGGAGGAGGAGGGAGGAGGATGGGAATGAGGTTCCCAGGTGCCCAGGTTCCCAGGTGCGACTGAGAACCCAGAACCAGGAGGAGGAGCGGATGGCGGGGGGGAGGAGGATGAGGAGGAGGGAGGAGGCTGACGAGGACCAGGTAGTGGAACAGCGAGGGGGGCAGCCGTCATCTTTCGAGCGAGGACGAGGAAGGAGAGGGGGGTGGAGGAGAATGAGGAGGATGAGGCTGGAGGAGCGAGGATAAGGAGGATGAGGAGGCGGAGGAGTAAGATAATGAGGAGGAGCAGAAGGATGATGGTGATGCTGGTGATGATGAGGAGGAGGAAGAGGAGGGAGGAGGACGAGGAGGAGGATGAGGAGGAGGAGGAGGATGAGGAGGAGGAGGAGGGCGAGCAGAAAGGTGAGAACACTGACGGAACACATTCTCACACGTTTCAGGATGAGGATGAGGAGGAGGAGGAGGAGGATCATGACGAGGAACAGGAGGATCAGGATGAGGAGGAGGAGGAGGAGGAGGGCGGGAGGAAAGGAGGAGGACGGTGGCAAAGAGGAGGTGGGGGCATGAGAAGTCGGAGGAGGAAGAGGAGGATGAATAGGAATTGGAGAATGTGCGAGCAAGCAGGTGACGAGGACGAACGGAGTCAACCTTACAATGTCTTCGCGGATCTCTCGTTCTTGGAGCCTCTTGGAGACCTTTTGTGGCAATTTTGAGCTTCCAGGGACATCTCGGATGATATCCGTCATAAACGGGGGGTCCTTAGTGCCTTCCCCCTGTCGGAGCCTACTTGCTCACCTCTTGGAGCCTTCTTGGGACGCGCGTGGGTTGCTCTCTAGGGCGCTCCTGTGGCCGTCTTGGAGCTCCTCAGGACCTATATTGGGGCTCTCTTGTGCGATACTGACAGTCAACTTGAGGGCTCAGAAGTCCATCGGAAACGACAGCGCAATGCGCCACACACCATTGACTAATCTTCTATGCGTGGACTCGTTAGGCTTCCCGGGAGAGTCCTTGGGATGATCCGGAGCCTTTAGCTAGGGCCATCTCGAGACCGTTTTGGGGTCTCTTGGAGGTATGCTGGAGGCGAATCATCTCGCTGCATCTAGGACCACACTGCGACATCCCATATGTATTCTCAAGGCATTTGGGGCCATCTTGGCCCACACGCCTCCCAAGTATGTCCCTGAGCTGCCAACATTGTGTAGCCACCTTGGTTGTGTAACGATTTTGGTTTTGAGCGAAGGGGAGATCATCAATTACATACCCAAGTCGGAGGCTGATCAATCGCTTCTTGCTGTCCTTTTGGGACGCTCTTTGGGCGATCTTGGGGCGTTCGTGGGCGCTCTGGGGGCCGTCTTGGAGCCCTCCTGGGCCACTCTCGAGCGATCTTGGGAGCCATCTTGAGGCCTCAGAAGCCCATCGGGAGCGAAACTGCGATACTGCGAACACCACTGAGCAACATTCTGTTGGGCAAGCGTTTTGGCATCTTGCGGGCGTCCTTGGGAGGCTCCGTGGTCACTTGGAATCGTGTTGGGGGCTGTCTTGGAGGCATGTCACACGCAACCTTGAGCAATTCGGAGCTGTCTTGTGCCACCCATCAGGTCATCTTGGAGCCATCCTGGGGCATCATGGATGCTGCTATGGGCTGCCCCCCTCAGTCCGAGCCCAGGGGGTTGGGGGGTATAGGAGAGGGTGCAAGTTCCCACGGGAACGCCGCAGGCTGTCTCGCCCATTCCCATTCGAACTCCCGCCATATACGTAGCACCCGAGATTTGGTCTACAGTCAACCCGCATACTGAGAATGAACGACTTTCCCAGGTTACCCCTGCATCCTTTCCCCTTCGGCCCATCCTTGGCCGCTTTCGCTGGCCGCGCCCCGCTCGCAGAGTGTCGACATGGCCTTCCCTCCTCCTCCTCCTCCTCCTCCTCCTCCTCCTCCTCCTCCTCCATCCTCCTCCTCCTCCTCCTCCTCCTCCTCCTATTCCTCCTCCTCCTCCTCCTCCTCCTCCTCCTCCTCCTCCTCCTCCTCAAGGCCGGACGGACATCGGTGCACCGCCAACGCGGGCGCCAGGGTGTGCGACGCTCGCGCGGTGCGCCGCGCGGTCCGGGTATGCCACGGGCCTAGAGCGTGTCAGGCGCGATTGCTGCGCCAGATGCGCCACGTGCTCCACCAGGGCCCATTTCGATGTCCCCGATTCCGATTGGATTCGATTCGATGACATCCGATTCCGATTCGATTCGGCTTGGGATTCCGAGTTGGGTTCTGGTCCGGTGTGTCACTGGAGGCACACTTGCCTGCCGATTTTTCCGCCGATTTGACTTGTCCCGACTCGGCTGCCGATTTCCGCCGATCAGACGGTTTAATGCATCTGCATTGGCAGCGTTGTCTCTGCTTCGCATTCTGCTTGCACTTGGCCCGTTATGCGAACGGCACGCGCACGAGCTAGAGGCAGATGGATGTTTGAAACAAAGATTTCCGCCGATCATTTTCATTTCGATTGCCGATCCGACCAATCGATTCGATTCTGGGTTCTCCTGTCCAAGCGCGCCACGTGCGCGACACGCAGAGAATGCGCCAGGTACACCGGTGCGCGTGGCAGCACATCTGGTAGCAGGTCGCCCCCCCCGCCCGACCATCCGTGTCGAATGCCATTGCAAGGGGGGGCGGGGCATCAGAGGAGGAAAAGGTACCCCCCTACCGCTACCCCTCGCCCGTTTTCCCCTTTTTCGGCCTCCTGGGAGGCCCTCGTCGCCACCGCTGGATTCGCGTCGAAGTCCCTGTCAGAACGCAGCCTGGGAGAGGTCCAGGGAGTAGCGGTATCGGAGCCTTTTGGTTTCCCCAGGGCGCATCTTTTGTGTCCCTCACCGAGTCTGGATCTGCTTCTCGCACGGGTAGCAGGGCGGTAGCAGGGCAGCTCACATCGGACACGCATGCTGACTCCCCCCGCCATCCCCGTCAAGGCCAACGGACAGTGCTCGCGGGGGTCCTGGTCACGATCCAGATTTTACCGCCACGTTCGCAGGCCCAGAGGTTGACACCAACACCAATATCGGCGGTGTGCACCTACCGAGGGGAAAAGATCCCGATCTCGGCGATGGTGGTAATATTCAGGCTTCCAAAGTGACCGAAATATTGCCACCAATACCGAAATCTAGGATCGTCCTCCCCATGTGGAGGCAACCCCCTGTGTTGGTGTTGGTGCTCATTTCTAGGCCTCCAACACGTGCATCTCTTCTTAGTTTTTGTCAGGGACGGAGGGGAGCGCTCATGGTTCTGGGTCGGCGGCCGGTCGAGCGGGGGAGGGGACATGGTATGAACGAGGAGCGGTGATGTCGAAAGCAAGTCGTCACCGAATGGGAAAAAGGATGTTGGAAGAACTGTGGCCCTGAGCTGCCTATGCCCAGAGGGCTGACAGGGCACATGCCAATGCCCTCCGTCGCCCTCCTGGAGGTCTGCAGACTGGGGGGGACGTGAAGGGGAGGGGGCAAGGGAAGGAAGAGAAGGTGGAGGAGAATCTGTACTTCGACGTGGGCCTTTCAGTTTAGTCTACTTCTTTCTCGGTGAGCTCTCGGCGCAATCAGGCTGAGTGCCAACTAACGCCGAAAGCGATCTTCCATGGGGCAGCATTCAGCATGCAGTAGGCTCTGGCTTCAGCCTCAGTGCCGTCCTTCATGTCCCATTTGGTTGCCCTCCCCTCCTCCCCATCTCAAGGAGACGCCGAGCAAGCGGATCAAGGTGCTGCCCCTCAACCCTGGCGATCTGCTCATGGAGGACGTGGCTGCGGAATTCGGCGCTTGCCTCGGTGAGAGCGCGTGCGGATGGGGAGGGTGAGGCGAGCAGAGCGGTGAAAATCGCGTGGGCATGGCGCGTACGAGTTACGGGAGAAGCCACAAAGGGTGCCCGTGCCGGCACCGTTTGCCCGCCGCTTGCCTTGTGATTCGCCAACGGCCTGCTGCTTGCCCGCAGCTTTTCTTTCACGTCTTCACTCGTACCTCATGGGAGCTAATAGAAGACTCAGACGAGGGGAAAAGGGGGGGAGGTTGTGAGGAGGAGTGTTGGGGGGGGCGTGGGTGGAGGAAGGGAAACAGAAGAAGCTCAGTGCGTGGAGTCTACGGCCACTTGCGAACCCTGCCCCTGCTGGTCCAATTGGCGCTGGGGTATCGGACACCCCCACAGAGGTTCACCTGGCTGCAGATATCCTGCAATTCTGGGCCCCCGCTCGTGTTTCAAAACCTTGTCCTCCATGGGGTAGGGCTTACATGTGCTTGCCCAGAGAGAAAATAGTGAGAGGAGGGGAACAGTAGCATTAGTCGGGCATGTCCCTCTACAGCAGAAGTATTCAATAATGGTAAGAAATAGTCAGGTGCCGATTTCTATGTTTTGATTATCTTTAGGCATGTTTGATTATTTTCATTTTCCAAAGTCCGCCCGTAGGAGGACATGCCCGACCTAACTCTATAGTTGGCGGAAAGTCGCCCCTGACTGGTAGCAGGAGCGTCTCGATGCCTTGCCACCCTGGCCCCGAGTCGTGATCTGGCCGTGATGCGTGGCACGGGTGTGCCGCATTGGGTCGTCAGCTCCTCCGACTCCTGGTCCCTGTCGCGGCTGGGCTGTGCACCGCGTCTTCTCCTCCTGCTACAGTTGGGGGCCCATGCCAAGAAACCCTGTTTGCCTCCAGGGTGCCCTGGGTTTCTTGGGTTTCGATGGTTTTGCAATGGAAAGCGTGACGTTTGCGCACCAACAATCAATGGACATCTTGGTGTCTCAGGGTTGGGTTTCTTGTGGATGGTTTCTTGTGGACTGGCCTCCGCTGTACTTACCCGTTCAGGCCGCACTCGGTGCGCTCGCTTACCCGGGTCTGTCCTCTTCCCCCGGGAGTCTGCACAGTTTGCATTTGGTCCCCGTCCCCCTCCCTTTTCCCTTCCCATCCCACCGCCCCAGTTGGGGACATGCCCCTCGAAGGGGTCAATCAGTCAGTGCCCCACCATCCCACTGCCCCAGTTGGGGATGTGCCCCTCGAAACCCGCAGGGAGCAGCTCACATTCACATCCGCGGGGGTCACATCGGCCAGTGGGGCCCAGGCCACGCCACTTGTAAGCGGTGCTGACGGAGGGCAGATCACGAGATTTGTTTTCGACATTCACGGCCACAGACCCCCTCGCACAGGGTGCAACTCGTCTCGAGATCGGCAATCAGGGTGGAGGCCTTTGCTGCCCAGTCTCGTCCAAATTGAGGAGGAGGAGGAGGAGGAGGAGGAGGAGGAGGAGGAGGAGGAGGTGGAAACCTTTGCCCAATCTCGTCCCGACTGCAAGGGCAGACCACGAGACCGTGGAGAGGGGGTGTGGACGGTGCGGACCTCGTGTGGCGTCTTCCGCGCGGGAGGGTCCCGGGGGCGCACGGCCTGTGGGCTCGCAGGGGCACCCGTTTCCCACCTCCCCGCGCAGCTCGGCGGGGGTGGCCAGGCCGTCGGTGCAGCGCGAAGTCCGCCCTCCACGCTGCGATCGAAACTCGGAGGAGGAGCAGGCACCCATCGGTCGTTGAAAGTAGGTGTTTTTGGATTCCCAGATCCCAATCTACTTCAGGCGCCTTCCTACTTCAATCAACGAGCGTGTTTCCCCCTTCCTACTTCAATCAACGAGCGCCTTCCTACCTCAATCAACGGGCGGGCGGAAACCCTACCCACTTCCAACGCCTTCCTACTTCATGTTTCTACCTACTTCTTCCGACCGATGGGTCCTGATATCTAGGCCTCCTAGATTGGGTCGGAGTAGATTGTGTCGGAGGATCGCGCCGCATCGCCGATGCATCGGCGATGCGGCTCGATGTGGAGCCAGATGTGCTTCACGTCGACGTCGCCGATGCATCGCCGACGTTGCCGTTGCATCGGCGATGCATCGGCGATGCATCTGAGATGCGGCGCGATTTTCCGACCCCATCTACTCGGACCCCATCTGGGAAGCCTCTATGATACCGCTGCCCTCGCCTCGTTGTCACCTGTTTGGGCCTCCTGGCAGGCCCTCATCGCCACGGCCGAATGCACCTCAGAATTCTGGTCGGGGCGCACCCCAGGAGAGGTCCGGGGAGCAGCGGTATCCGGTACCTCGTGTTTTCCCCCTTACTGTGCTGCCGTGCACGCCCCCGTGCCCTCCCTGACATTGCGGCCCACAAAGAGGCACGGATCGGGGACGGGGGAGGAAGTCTTGGGATTTGGGAGTCCCAGTCTGGGCGATTTGGTTCATTTCCCACATTCGCGGATTCCCTCCCTCGGCCATGTGTTGCAGCTGTTTTGTTCGTGGGATGGTCAAGCGAGCATCGGTGGCCAGACCGCTTCCTCGACGTGATGATCTCATGGCAAGGGAGGAGCAAGAAGAGAAGAGGGGAGGAGGGATGATCCTTACGATGCATCTTCGGGGGATCTCGTCAGTCCTGTAAAATTCTATCTTTTTTCTCGTGCCCGACTCGGAGTCGACACGGATTCGACGCGGATTCGACATGTATTCGACTCGGATTCGACATGGATTTGGCTTTGGACACGGATTCGACACAGATTCGACACGGATAGTGGCGCGATGGGACAGGGAGCGAAAGGAAGGATGGCCAAGGGCCAGGAGGGAGTCAGAAAAGAGGGATCAGCGTCACCCCAACATATTATTACTATGTATGCGTTGCCCCCCCCCCCCCTTGAGGTGACGCGCGCACCGAGACATGTTATAGTACATGCGTCGTGGCGGGCGCTTCTTGGCCACACCGCTCGGGAAACGATATTCCACAATCAGAGCTTGCCTCTGTAGGGGTCCTAGCGGATTAAAGGGTTAGGTGAGGTTGGTCGCCGATTTCGGTGGCCGGGCCCGGGTGCCCAGGTGCCCGGGTGCCCGGCGGTGCCCGGGTGCCCGGGTGGCCGGTGAGGTGCGTGGCCGATTTCGGTGGCCGGGCCCGGGTGCCCGGGTGCCCAGGGGTGCCCGGGTGCCTGGGGGTGCCTAATAGCCCAATAGCTCAATAGCCCAATAGCCCGGTAGCCCTATAGCCCTATAGCCCTATAGTCCTATA